GGCGGGCCCTTTTAGAGCTTAGCACACTGACCGTACCTTTCGGCTTTCACTGATGCGGGCTGTGCATCACCTGTTTGTTTTTCGCACATTCTTTGTTGCTTTTCGATATCACCGTAGCGTATAGTAGTATCAGAATTATGCTTTTGCGTTGAGTAACCCGCAAGACTGCATCATCGCTGATGCTTATGGTCTGGCACATATCACTTTTACTACGATACACAAAAAAATGTTTTCCACATGCAAGGCTAGGAGTGTCGATTGGGTTGAAAAAGACGTATTCATTGCGCTGCACTCCAAGCGTCCTTAGATATAGTAATTGTAAAGCAAGCGGAAAATGATAGGGCGCCAAGTGTCGTCTTGTGGCAAAAGCAGAAGGCCGTGCTTTGTTGTCGCACACGTTTTTTTCTTCCGATGGGGGTTTTCGGCAGAGGGGAAAACGTATATTCCGGGGATGGACATCTCCACACGCGGCACCTCGTCCGGGGCATTCACTTCGAGGATGGGAAGGGTGCCTTGTTTGGCAACGGGTCTTAGAAATATATTACTTTGGGCATCTGATGTCGGATTGTCATTTTAATTGAAATGATGCTACGTGGGGTATTACTTGAAAGCAGATAGCTGAATGTTTGTACACTCAAGAAGAGAAGCGGGAAGAAAGCTCGCTGGCCATATAAGGCTATGAAAGAGTGCGCTGCATCGGCCTACCTCCTGTTTCGAATGCTTCGCCATCCACGCCCGATGCTGATGAGTACAGATCGAATATATATTTGATCTTTCACATACGTATATGCATTAAGGCGTTCTCGTATGCCATAAACTAGAAAATTATTTTGCGCATAATATTGTTTTTGTGACAGCTTTTACTATCGTGAACCAATATTTGGAATCGAATATTGTAACTTATTTGTATCATATCTCAGATCTTGTCAACGTCAGAACTTTGATTTTCTTACTCAAACCAAACAAGTTATCGATACTTGTTCGATTGTTTCAATCAGCCGCGCTTTGACTAAACGTTAGCCTCCTGCGACGTGCACAGTTAGTCTAAAAATACGTAAAGGGTGATTTCATCTCAAATCGGGCAAGAAATAGGGTGGTTCATCAGAAAACTTAGAAAAAGATACATGCTAGTGGAAAATGTGTGACCGCACAAAAATTGCAAATTAGAAATACGGAAATTTATTGGTGCTTGAGTTTTAGGCTTTGAAATGGGGAAGGTAGGTCTTACGATATTTGCAGTTTCACGGGTGACACATTTCGAGTCTCGCATCGTTCATATTCTTTTTTTTTTCATAACAGTTATAACCTTTTTTTTACTACTGTAAGACTTTTTATAGAAGGGTTGAATATCTCTAGAAGTGTGCTTTAAATGTAATTTTGGGAAATACGTGTTCTTGAATCTTGCAGCTTTGACAATTATGGGCCAAGTTTGAATCGAGCTAGTTTTTCATGTTGAATTGTTTAAGGCATAAAAAACATTTGAAATTAAAGCTTGTATATATACCTATTTCAAAATGATAATATCGTTTTTATGTATAGTTTATAAAGAAATAACAATACTGTAAACTTGAGAAGCAAAACTAAAAGCATAAAAATCAACATCATGCTACAATAAAACGTTTATTTTACCTTTTTTCATTTTTTATATAAAAAGCTTTTTTTTATGTGTTTAAGTATACAATAAAAATGTTCTCACATATATGGTTTCGTGATATTTAGCAGTGAGCTTGAAAACAATATATATTTATCCCTCCATTCTAATATGAAAAGATATGGGCCGTTTTGAAATCTTTGACGTAAATATTATGTATATAAGGACCTTAGCATTTGTGATATTTAAGCTCATGTACCATGTAGTAAAAATGATGCGTGACAGGCATGTTATGATAATTTAAACAAAAAATGTATGCATATGTCCAGTTTACTTATAAAATCTCAAGATACACTTTTCCTCATATAAACTTACTGAAACCTTTGTTTATTTATTTAACAAGTATAAAATTAAGTTCTAAAAGCGTTTATGTCAGGCAATTAATTCCCTGACATTAGCGTTCTTTTTTTTTAAACCTGGCCATTATATTGGCCAGGCCATTATATTGGCTGATTCGATTTTCAAATTTAGAATCTCGAAAAGCTTGAGACGAAGAGTATGAACTTTACTGCGCCTAATATAACATATTAAAAAAAAAAGAACGATCGATTTAATCGGCCACGTTGAGACATGGCCATATCAAGCATGCCCACTATTCAGAAATGTTGTCACGTTCCTTACTGATGATTATAATACGTAACACACAACAACAAAAAACAACATAAAAATTCAGGAAGTCCAGTATTTATATTTAAACTGGGTCAGATATTAAATCCTTCAATTTAGGTCCCAGATAATTTCAAGTCCACAAGCTCGTCAATTCCGTTCCTGTGCAACTCTAGCTTATACCAAGACTTGATAACTGTCCTTGTAATAATTTATATGTGTAGTTTTGTGTCACAACTGAGGCGTTAAATGTGTATGTGAATGTGATTTTCAGTTTTCTTCGCTGTTTTTGAATTTCCTCCTTAATATTTTTTTTAATTTCTAACAAAGTTTCAAAACAGGTTTTGAAGGCAGTTTCTCTTCTTCGTGTATGTGCAGACAAATGTTCTACTTGTTAAGTGTTTTAGCGAAACCATTAACTGTCTCCTGGAGTTAAGCCGGAGGCTCTGTCTGTAACCGTCTGTAGCAGAAAAACGGCACCCACAAGCGGAATTCCCATTGGCCGCAACTTGTCAGATTAGATGCTTCGTCAGAGAAGCCGGCTTGGCACTCAAGGGCAAAGCCCTCAGAAGTAAAACACGAAGAGAAGCACAGCAACGCAGGTGCATCTTCACGGAAGCCGTGGAGCCGGAGGGGCCGCCGCGCCTGCGCAGTGGGGGGCACGATGTCACCGCCGGAGCTCCGTGTGCAAAAGGAAGACGTGGCGCGCTGCTCGTAGGAATGCGCTGCGTGTAGGAATGTTACGGCATTCCTACACGTAAGCAGTCTTAAGTGTCTCTGCCGAATCGTTTTTAATCTTCATATCTAATTTTTTTTAAATACTTTGCTGATAAGTTTGGTAAATATTAATATGGTGTTAACTTTTATGATGTTTTAATGCACAGAGATTAGATGATAGATTCAAAGCCTCTCATTCAAATTCGTGTTCAAAATGCAAAATCAAACTGTCATGAAACGCTTTGTGGCAATCAGACAGCAAGGCCCACAATGTATTCATTGTTTTATCTAGAGACGTGAACTTAAATTAGTAGAAAAGAAATGAAAGGCAAGATGCAGCATAAGTCTTAAAGATAATGTTTACAAGTAAGATCTGGACGTACATAACAAATAGTTTTTGTTCCATCTAGTACATACTTTTAGTCATGGTATTTATTTAAAAATATAGTAACAAGACCGAACAATGTGCACCCTTTTGCATTTTAAAGGTAGTATGTGCAATTTATGCCTGATAACGTGCTAACCTTACCGTGCTTGAATGTAATATAAAATTTTACGAGTGTCCGTTCCAAACAAGCAAGAAGTATGCACGTTTAATCTAGAGCCTGCAATTTCCTTCAGATTACCTTTCACTATATAAAGTGCGACCTACGTTTCAGTGGCATACAGCGCGTACATCGCAACATTATTAGAGCTAGCAAGACACGGAATGTGACACACATATTCTGTAAGAACATTTTGTGCCATTGTAGCAATAATATACGCTATAAAGGTATGAAATCTAGGTGTTTCATCTGGTCTCAAGCTAAGGGTGCTAAAATAACTGAATGATGCACATTCCGATAGTTATTGAGACCTCTCGTTTAAATAGACAGTGAATTCTTGATCTCGAACAAAATTTATTCCAGAGAGTAAGCTTAGGTGAACTTAAGCTTAGTAAGCTTAAGTACCCCATGTCAATGTAACTACGCCGGAGATGAAAAAAGTCACGAAATAATATTTATTTAGTTATAATTATTCGGAAACCACCATTCGCAATGACACCACTATTGGTCACAATATACGATTCTTTATTACTATTTAATATTTTTTCCGGGCCAAGGAACAAGTTCTGAACGTCGGTGATTGTGCCACATAAATTGTGAGACTCACAGCAAGTATGAGTAGGACAGAATTGCTATAGAAAACATTGAGCTTGTATAATGAATCACATCATATTTGTTTTCTGCACCCCTCCGCCTCCTTTCCCGAATATTTACGTGGTAGCAATAGCCACGCCTCATTCATTTTCTACCATCCTCTCAAAGTTTCTCAGGTACGTTAATTGCCAAGCGATTTCAAACGGTCGAGTGTAAGAAGGCAGTAAAAAAAATCAAATCCCGCTGACCTTCGCTTGTTCCACGAGAAGCCCTATTCACGCTGAACCGAAGACCCGAAAAAGAGGAGCGCGGCAGCCTGTGACGTTGACACGGCGCGCGTTCATCGGTCGTCGTGAGCCCTCAAAACACGGCCCCCCATCGCGATGACATGACCGCAAGCAAGATGGCGCTCTGAAAAGCACGTGGGTCGTTTCGCCGCTTTAAATTGATGGACGGCCCGGGGGAGCACAATCCCTTCGGAGCGCGTTCACGCATCGGGGATCGCCGTTACGAGCTACCGCTCCGAATCGAAGACGCAGCCCATTGAGACAGCCTTCCGGACACTCGAACGGGAAGAGACGTCTGCCCGTAGAGCGAAAAGCGGCAATGCGGGTTCTCGGCGGCTCTTTTTTTGCAGAGCCGCGCGGCCCGCAGTTCTGGTAGATTTCAGGGGTTGCCAAACCGGACATGAGGGGGTTTCATGGACGTGACAACGGGTTGGATTGAGCGGGCGTAAACTAATTAGGCACAGAACGGCAACAAGGGTAGCACCAAAACAATGACGACACCGAACGATCAACCGCGACGGCGACACTGACAGGTCTCTTTTTTTGAGACAGCGAGTGCCACCCCCACGACATCGACGCGGTAATAAAGCAAGTCCTCACCTCGTCGTCGTAGATCGGGTAGGGATCCGTCATGGGGAGGACTCAACCGACGTGCCCGTGAAGCAGGCTCCGGCCTAGACAGCCACGAAAGCAAGGCACGAGCGCGCCTACATCGTCCGTCGGACACGGTCAGCGGCACTCCGAGGGTCGGACGAAGCTTCGCTCGGCAGACAAGGACGACTCGCGGTTCATTCCCAGGTCGTCCCTCTGGCGGGGGGTCTCGGACGGAGTGGCGGACCGTCGGAGGTGCCCTTAGGACCGGACGGAGGTCGGCGGCGTCCAGGCTGGGGCGACCGAGCTGGCGGCCATGGGGACTCCGGTTCCGGACTCTGACATTTTCGGGGACCGAGGGCAAGCGCCCAGGGTTCCGCCACGGCGCACGCGCGCCCCGCCAATCGATGGGGCGCCGGGCATCGGGACGACTCCGGCTCTCCGGTGAACGGACGACGGGCGCGAACCCCAGAGAGCGCCCGGCGGAGCCTCTATTTTAGGAGGGTCCCGTATCTGTTTCGGACGCGGTCTCGGGCACGCGCCGAGGGGCGAGGGGCTCCTCTGTCCGAACGGCTTGCTTCGGGAATGCATCCTTCTCCCTTTCCCGAGCTGGGGTTACAGACCCATGTCACGGCGAAAAGGGCCGACGGTGTCGGTTACGCGCTCGCTTTTCTTTGGGGCGAACAGCGCGGTGGCGAGAAAATTCGAGAAGCTCGCCCTTTTGTGGCTCGAGGAGGAGGATTGGGTTTCGCGCCTGGAACAATAAAACTTGTGCGAAGTTACGGACACTGGCACCACCTGCCGCTTATGTCAATCTGCGGGGAGTGTGGTTCGATGAGATGAAATAATTATGTAGATGTATTCGTGTTTTTATTAAAATGTGGTGTATATTTAATGTTAGAGGAGTCTACAACCAATGTGCGATTTGCACTTTAAACTCCCCAGTACAGCGTTTCACCTGTTCCACTTTATAACACACTTGGCAAGTTGTATAGACAATAGACCAATCTCACCAGCCAGCTTGGCTACGCCACCGCTGCCGCAATGCATCGAGGGAACTTTAGTCTTTTTGCACGTGCGACAACCTCGCCGGAGCTCTTCGCGTGTAGAGCACGAGAAGGCACGAGCCCTCGCGTGCACGGCCGTCTAGCTCCTGTGAACTAAATTTATGGCGGCTTTACGCATGCGCCCAACGCTTAGTGAGATCGGTCTATTGCAAGCATAGCTCCCTGACTGGAGCCCCATGCGTGCAAGTACGTGAAGCTTGCGCGTGAGCATAGCTTTGGGAAGCTTGCGATTGCACGGGCTTGTCCTCCCGAGCAGAGACATGGCTGCGGCCGGTCGCCCTGCTTCCCGTTGCTCTCGGGCAGGTGGCGCGAGCCCGTCCGCAAGGCGCGACCATCTTAAGGCCGGTTCAGACACTTGCGTTTGAGTGCGTTTGACTGCGTTGCGTCGAGTGCGGAAAGCTAGTCACCGGCACATCTGTGCTTCGTATGAAGCGTGGAATCCAATCCAAGGAATCATCTTGGCACGCGATATAAGCAGCAGGGATGTCCTGGTTTCTCGCTGCCGCAACGCAGTCAAACGCAGTCAAACGCAACTGTCTGAACCAGGCTTTATGCTGGCTGCACCATTTACGCGATACGTCCATAAAAGCGGCGCTGTAATGTCTTATTACGCACGTGCAACGTTTGAATACAAACATCTGTTAGCATGAGTAGATGCGCAGTAACAAAATCTATAAACAGTCATGAGCCATACGACTCTATGAAGGTGGATGACCAGCGAAGATGTTTAGCACACGACACAGACGTGACACAGAATTTTGAGCAAAGGTATGAAGACATTTATGCACGATCTTCATCGGCGGTCTTTGCCGCGCGCCACCACTGCTGACATTCAATTGCCGTTCCCGCCGTTGCTCTTCGTAGGCGCGTTGCTGTTCGCGAGTCCGGACTATACCCGGCCTCCGCATAATGACGAGAGAACAGAAGTCAAATTGTAAATGGATTCCAATGCTTGAAAGAGTAAAACATCGAGGACGAGGACGGAAACAGGACTTCCTGCATTGAGGAACAGAACATAGAATGGCACAAACCATAAAACCGCCCCCACCCCCAAAGGGTTCAACGTTCTCGGAGAAGGAAAGGAGAAAATTGTTAAAAGGAAACGGACTTTACTATAAATATAAAAGTGTAAAAAGCGTTGGCGTCACGACGACGTATCAATAATCTACTTATCTCTGGTGCAAGTAATTCGAATTTTGTCTTTGTCAATGAAAATGCAGAAGATTTTTGATAGTCCCACAGGGAAATGTACCATATAAAAGTTTAAAAAGCACTAGCGTCACGACGAGGAGTCAGTAATCTAGTCATTTCTGGTCTATAAGGAGAATGGAGAACGGCAACTTGTCTTTCTGGTTTTTTATATACATACGCGTGGACGACTATCGCATCCCCGAGGAGCCGGGGGAAACTAGACAGGCGTGACGGGACCGCCCCCCGGCGGAAAGTAGACACGCGCGACGGTACCGCCACCCCGGGAGAGCGGAAGGAAACTAGGCGACGCGATCGCTTGGAACGACGACAAAGATACAAAGGGCACTGCGAGTTTTTGCTGGCGCTCATGAAAAATCCATGGAGCCCTAGCCTTAAGCAGCTTAGCTGTAAAAAGGATTATGCAGCTAGCGGCCTCAGCGTCCCATAAAACGTTTATTTCCGCTTTATTATTCATATTCCTTTCTTTCAGAGACTCCATGAGTACGCATATTTCACTTTACGTGATAGCGAAGCCGAAGCCAGTTGCAAAAGCTTGTTCCCCTGAACGATGTTCGCACCGCACGAGCACGTGTGCGTGGCAGCGCACCGAAAGTTCGGAGCTCGGTCTTATTGTGGTTGTTGTATTGTGAATTACGACAAAGGGGGAAATGCCCGTGCGTAAATATAATTCTCCCATGATGGGGGAAAGACTCGCACGGACGGTGAAGGAACGCGTTAAAGAGGAGAGGTGGTGGGTGAGTGAGAAAGGTTTTGGCAATGCGTGTAAGGGACTTTTAATAACTAACTACATTGGTTTGTTGTTGTAGCCTCTGCTACGCTGTCACTTAGAATAGAACTGAGTACGGAAAAACAGCAGTGGGAAATCGTAATGACGGATGTTTGAAGAGCGAGCCACAAATATTATATTTTGTTCACCTGAAGCGGTGCTTGGATCTTGAGAGCTACGGGCCTATCGCGGTGCTAAGGTATTAATTGACGTTCTGCAAAAGCGCTTCATTTAGCCCCGCACCCGCGCAGGGTGCAGGTTGAAGGCACGTTTGTACTTGTGCCTGCTAGTTACTGAGTGCTGAACTCTGCAACGGGATTTGGTTAAAGATAGCTCAGAGATTACCAGGTAGTCTCGAACCAAGAACAGATCACGGATTAGCCAGGGTATTTATTCTCGCTAAGGTTTTTATTTGTACAGGACATACGAGAGCCCAAATACCCTGAACACAGTAGACCCTTTCCGATATTCAGTCTGCTCACTTTGATCACTATCATCACCATCTGAGGAATGACATAGTATCGTACTAATGTGGCGGCCTTCTGGTTCCTGAATATGGAAGAAGTTAAAGATCCTCTGTAGAAGATGATGCTATAGGCCTATACGTTCGAGACGTTTGGTACGATGCGACGCAGGTGTTGGATACAAGAGCATGCGTAAGCGTTCCTTTCTAACTCGGGTCCAGTCGGTCTTTTGGCGGCACATCATAATTGGGATTACAGTCCTCTTGATGTTTAGCATTTTTATCGCAGTTTCGAAGTTGGTCGCTGCTTCGCCCTTACCGGTTCTATATTTGTCACCATCGAAACTGAGATATCCAAAAATATTTTTGACTGCTGTTGACTAGCGAAAGGGATGATGCCCGGCAAAGGTACTACAAAGTGCAGGTAGATTACCCTCACTTGTACAGAAAAAAGGTAAACTGTTACTTGAGCCACCATATGACACTGAATTTCAAACAGAGTCTATTGGCAGCTCAAAATTCGGTTTCTTTCGGCCCAAAAAACGCCGATCGAGGACTGGCCAGTTTGAGTCGCGCTCACTCTTTTCTCTGTTGTTACGTGCCATTGTTTATGGTTTAGGCACCTATACAAAATATAATCAAAGTCGTGGATCATCGAACGCACACTCAATAATAACAATATAAACGAAATATGATATCCATATGATATTCACTTCATTAAAAATATATATCTAATAAAAATATGTTTATTCCGAGAGACATAGGTGTACTGATGGTTAGGGTTTCTGGGTTTCTCAACTGCAAATGGCGCAAACCCGCTGATGTCAACTACTCAATGTCAAAAACTTGTTTGAATCTCAAATCAGGAGACAAAGAAATGTCTGTCAAGCTACAAACCTCAAGTGCATGTTCAGTGACTAAGCTCAAAATAATGAATGACAAAAATCTAACGTGTAAACTTTAAATAAGCAATATTGAGCCTAAGTAACTTCAGAATAATCGATATTGTGTTTCTTATTACCAAAAGCATTTGCTCTCCTGAGTAAATTCAATAGAATCGATATTAAGTTTCTTATGACCAAACTCAACTGCACTCCTAATAAGTAAATTCGATAAAATCGATATTGAGTTTTTTATGAGCAAACTCAATTGCATTCCTACTGAGCAAATTCAATAGAATTGATATTAAGTTTCTTATGATCAAAACTCATTAGACGTTGAGTTTGTATTGAGTTTCTGTTGAGTCTACAGGAATACATTAGAAACTCAATTGAAACTCATTGATCATTTTGGTAAGGGGGCTGCAAGCAGGTGCAGCTTGCCCGGGAACACAGCTTTGGCAAGCTTCAAATTGCACGGTCTTGTCCTCACGAAAAGAAACATGGCGGTGGCCAGTGGTCTTGCTTGCAGTCGTCTATATAAGTGGCGCACTAAGGACGACACGCGGAGTCACGTACCGTCACCGAACTGTCGAAAGGCCAAAGCGCGTGTGCTCCGCCATTCCTACTGCGTCGTAAATGACAATACTGCCTGCATCTTGCGCTGTTCAAGGGGCACGGCAAAGGGACGATGAATGCCAAAATGCTGCTTCGGAGGACTTGCCCATCAGTGTGAAACAAGAGCGTTCAGCCGCGACATTGGTGTAAAGCGTCGGATAATGACCAAATGAAATTCTAGAGGTAGGACTGGTTGAATAGGTGTCCGTGAATCTTTCTGATTCATTGAAGAGCGTGATTCTTTGCCTAAAACACCCGTAAATCGGTGTGGCGCTCACAAAAGATTGCGCATGGTTGTTCCACACTCCGGTCGTTTCGGTTTTCCGTTGGTACAGGTCAAGGACGTCATCAACGATAGGAAATTTGCAAAAAACTCTTAACTTCTTTCAACTATTATGTTCAAAATACATAAGATTT